GACAGGCTGCTGAGATGGACAGTGGCTTTGAGATGGGCCCTTCCTCACTACAGGCCCAGGCAGCATGTACCACACCACCCTCCTGAAGCTTGGGGTGTGCAGAGCAACCTTGGCAAACACTTCAGTTGCCTTGGGAGACAGCAACACCACCATGTCTTCATGTTTGAAGATTTCACCACTCACATCTCCCAGGTGCCACTTCTGCATCAGCAGGATCAGGCAGGGAACCCATGCATTAGTCACCTGGGCAGAAACCACTGACCCCCGTCGTCCCACTCTCTCTCTGCACTGGAGTTGATCTTCGCTGTGGTGTCAGAGCAACTGGTGATTGCTCCAGTTGGCTCTCAGCAGATGGTAATCACCTTGAGGGTGGAGACTTTCGTGGGCATTTTATAAAACTGCTATAAACTATTCAGCACGTGGTCCAGTGAGGCTTGGTGTAAGACAACTGTTGCATGGGTGCCTAGACACACTAAAGAATCAATTTAACTGTATGTTGCCCCTCCCACTTATCAGTGACAGTAGTCTGACTGTCTGGCTTTCACATATGCTGCCACACACACACTTCAAGCTTTATCAAAGCAGTTCGTGCTTCTAAAAGATTCTGGCTCTACTGAGCTCCCCTGAGGCCCTGTGAACACCTGCTGGGTGGTGCTGTAACTGCTGGGTTAGCTGGGTCTGATACTTGGATGCTCAAACCCTGTGTGTGTGTGTGTGTGTGTGTGTGTGTGTGTGTGTGTGTGTGTCTGTGTCTGTGTGTGTGTATACAAAACCGCATGCTTTCCCAGTGAGTCTTCCACACTTTCCCACTCCCACCTGGCACAAGGAGCCCCATGGGAAACACTGCTGAACCACTGAGGCTCCTGCAGGGCCTGGAGATAGGTTTCAGTGGGCTGAGGGAGGAGACAGGGCAATGTTACCCGCTAACGCTTCCCAAGCCTGCAGCTCGGAGCCTGCTCACACCTGACAGCAGCCTCCTCTCAAGGTCTTGAACTCGCAATGATCCTCCTGCCTCAGCCTCCTAGGTGCTGGAATTACAGGTGTATGCCACAGTGCCCAACAAATATTCACTGTATATTTTGATCACATCCTTTAATTTCCTTGTTTACTGGGCAGCAGGGTGAACAGGAGGGACTTGAACTTGTCATCTTTGGGGGCATGGTCTCTATTTTGTTTGTCTCCCCACCTCCAAATAGACTTCTTCCCCTGCTATCTGTCTGAATGATTCTACTTGGCTAAGACAGAATCATATAATCCTGAGTTTTCAACAGTCTCTGATTAGCACTCTTCTAGAAGTGGTCATCTAGTTGTTCTGGAATACTTCCAGTGACAGAGAGCTCACTATCTCTAAGGGCCTCATTCAGTTTTTGGTATTTTTGACTGACAAATGTTTTTCTTCATATGGTTGGAAACTTTCCCTGAAATTTGGGTAAACTGGTCCTGCTTAGCCCACTGGAACCACACAGAACATGCCAGTCCTTCCTAGGGAGGCCTTCTCACATCCAACCTCCCGTCCCCCGCCCCTGCCCTGTTCCTTACACTGCCCAGACAGGAGGCAGCCTTAGGGTATCAAAAGGAACTTTAAGCTCTAACAATGCAACTATGACAGTGACATCATCCCCTGAGCACTTCTTATATGCTGGGCACTCTGAGTAAGCAATCAAATCCTCACCACAGCCTAGGATGGAGATCGTGTTCTCAATCCCCGATTCACAGGCAGTGACTCTACAGCACAGGTGACAGGTAATTTTCCTGCAGTCCCACAACTCATCAGCTGCAAAGCCAGAAGTCAGACCTAAGCCAGAAGAAGCTGTCCCTGAAGATACCCAGAGCAAGGCAGGAAGCCACTGTCCTCACATCATCAGATCTAGGCACTTTGTGCTACAGGGAAAATACATTTCTGCTTTCTTACAACCTCTAGGCCATAAAAGTATAAGCCTGTAGAATACTGCCATTCAGGGGCTGGGGATTTAGCTCAGCGGCATAAGCACCTGCCTTGCAAGCAGGCAGTCCTGAGTTCGATCCCCGGTACTGATTAAAAAAAAAAAATACTGCCATTCTTTGCTCCTTTCAATAGTTTCTTACTCTTTCTTCTCTTGGAGGCCCTAGAACAATTCTAGGGATCACAACTTTGCTTCCAAATAGGGAGAAGAGTATGATCTGATTCCCTCCAGCTACACAAGCAATGAGCAAAAATACAACGTAGGGAGTTAGATCATTAAATACATCTCTCCCAGGAGGTGGAAGAAACTAAGACCAGCACCATGCTGTGCTCAGAGGGAACAAGGCACAGATGTCAGGAGAAAGCCCCACCCATGCAGGCCATGGCCGCACTCAGATGTGGTCAGGGGACAGCGGGGGAGTGGTGTGCCTTTTCTATGACTCAGTCCTCGGAGGTTCAGGTAAAGTTACAAGGCATGGGTATCAGCTAAGGATCTGCCACCCACAGTTCAATTCCTCAGTTCGAGAGAGCAAGGGGAGGAATAGAAACCTTCCTGAAAAGTCCATCTCAAGTTACACAACACTATTATTTCCTTTGCCTTCTGTGGCTTATCATTTGGGCACCATTTTCCCGGGAGTCATGAAATGACTTATAGACAACGTTCAAGGGATGAAGAAAGCCTGAACACCTCGAGTCAATGGTTAAAAAATATTTTCGGAGGTGTTGGGGATGAAACTCAGGCAAGAAAATGAGTTCTGCCCTGGCCCTGCAGAAAGGAGCCCAGCCTTGAATTCTTCTAACCTTAGCCTGATAAAAGCTGCATGGATTTCTGACCTCCAGAACTGTTAGATAATACATTTGTGGAAGGTCTTCTCCAGAATGTGCTAGCTTAAGTCACTAAATTTGTGCTAACTTGCCATGGCAAATAGAAAATGAAAACGGTTAACTTTGATAAATCAGCTTATGAATGTAGACTACACTTCAATGACAACTTGACTTTGGGGGCAAGAAAAGGAAGAAAAAGACTTGGACAGTACATCTATCAGGTGGCAGGCGCTGTGTGTCATTTACCACCCTCAGCCCCACCCCTCGAGCTCTCCAGAGCACTGCTAGCCAGGCAGGCATTGACAGCTGCTTGGCAGCTGATGACTTCGAACATTTCTAAGAGGATGAGGTGCTTGTCTGGAGCCTCAGCTGCCAAAGGGGCAGAGCCAGGATTTTAAGAGGTCTGTTTGCCTCCAGAGCACTGTGCTTCATGGTGTGGGCCTCCTTTCTTGACATGCAAGCTAACAGGTACCCAATGCCCCAGCACCTCCTATTTCTGGTTGTGCTTTCAGAGGGCCCCAAATGACAGCCACCTCCTCTCTGCACCTCCTGTGGAGTCCTCTCCTCCCTTCTCTCCCATATCAGAAGCTGCTTGCTTCCGGGAGGGACTGGGATTACAGACCAGTGCAAAGGTAGGGGGAGGCCTCTCCTTCCACAGCTCCTTCTGTGGCCCCAACCTTTGTATAGCGTAACAGTGAGACATAAAGGAAGAATGCCATGCATGCTGGACTCTGCTGGAAGAGGAGGGAAGTCAGGGAAGTCTGCCCCTTGAGTATGGGCCACATGAATGACTGTTAACCATTGACTTCTCACAGCATTATGCACTTGCAGATGAGGTGTGGGCACTGCGTAGAACAGGGAAAGCACCTTTTGCTCCCTCAACCAAGAACCAGATGGGAGAACAGGCCTCACTCAGGTGGGAAGAGGCAGTGGAGGCCTCATCTCTGGACTCTGCACTGCTGTGTATCCCAGGCACGGTGCTGGGTGACACATGTGGCTCTCACAGCCTCCTGGCCATTCAGCAGGATGCCTGTGATTGGTCTGTCACAAGAGAAAGCTTTGGGAGAAGTCCAAACATGGCTAGTTATTGATGTAATTGCAGGAGGGCCTTTTTGCTGCTTGAAGGGTAAAAGCCAGTTAATTAACAGCCACTGCTTTATGCTTATAAGGCACAAATTCAGACCCATCCATTAGTCTTTTCAGTTAAGATTACTTAAATGAAAGCTGCCAAGCTAGAGCTGTAGGGAGCATCTATTATTAATGCATAGAGAAAAGCCAGCTCTGAGGTGATGGGCTGGTGAGTTACAACACACTTAGAGGTGGATATGGGAGCAGATTCAGGCCTGTCAGTTATGTAATAAAGTTTATAGTGGGTTTCTATAATGTATGCACAAAATGCATTATTGATGCAGTGTGCAGGAGTTGTGTGTGTCAGGCTCATGATGGGCAGATACATCCCCAATCCCCAGCAGTCCCAGGACACCTGTAGGTAGGACAGTGGGCCAGGCAGGGAGAGGATAGTATGAACAGGATGAAGCTGGCCCATTGGCCCAGCTCCGGCTGAACAGCTGGACAGACCTTGGGAACTAGGGTAGTGCACAGATATTATGAGAAAACCATGTAGCAGATGACCACCACCCAAAACCCAAATAAATGAGCAGATATGGTTCTGTCCTTGAATATGCTCAGCTAGGCTGGGGAGGGAAGTGTGAAAATAATGACCAATATAAGGATCTTTTCAGAACAAAGTGAGCCATCCATGGTTAACATAGTTTATGCAATGGTGCATACTGTATGCAGGGCTTCAGGCTGGGAAAAGTATGGAAAATGTGTTCTCTGCTTTTCAGAGTTTGGAAGGGGTATGAAAGGAGGAAGTCCAAGGCCACAGCAGAAGGAGAAAGAGCAGGCTGGTGTGAGCCCTAAATGTCTGTGACCTGGAGCTGTGTATGGAATAGATGCTAGAGACACAGGCTGTGGAAGCTGAGAGCAGATTAGACTCAAGAAGATTGGAGAGAGAGAGCTTCAGCTATAAGGTTTGAAAGGCAGGTAGGCTTACAGGGGCACAACTACTTTTCTGGGCTACAGAGAGGGCGTAACAAAGCCACCATCAGGAAAAGGACATCTCTGAGCAAACAAATGCCACTGGTCAAAGGGTGATGGTTAAGAGACAGGGCATTTTGGAGGAGCCAAAATCAGAGAAATGTGAAGCCAAGAGCCAGCTAAAAGCACATACCAGCATCAGGGGGACAGTCTCCTAAGGATCCACAGCAGCTGCAGGCTCTCTCTGGGTGCTGTGTGCTGGAGATTAGCAAAGGACAGAGAGCTTGCAACCTGAAGTTGGCTCTGGGGTCCTGGCAGAGCTGCTAATTCTTGCACAGTCCAAATTCCTGAACCGTCTCTGAGTTCCGAGGGTGTGGGGATGACAAGCAAACTGAACCTGGTTGTGTGCCTCTCTGACGGCTTTTCCAGGATGATCCTTGGACCAGGAGCACTGGCAAGTTATGTAATTAAGCTGCAAGGCAGCCCCAGCCAGAACTTCCTCATTCAAAAAAAGCTGTAGCAAACAGAGCGTCTGAGTAGGAGGGGAGAGAAGGAGGGAAAAGGGACCAAGGGTGGGGCCGAGGGAGGAGATGCAGTCCAGGCCCAAGAGGGGCTGCCCATACTGCTGCGGAAAGGAGACGCCTCCTGGGAGGCACAATTCTTGGCACAGCAGTAGCTGTCAAAATCAGCAGAGCCCATCGCAGTGGATTTTTAAGTTCTATCTTAGGGACTTTGGACACAGCAGCCTTCCCAAGGGAGATCTGCCCTGGAACGCTGGGCTTGCAAGCAGCTAGCTCTTACATCAGTCTAGCCAGAGAAGGGCGAAAACACACATAATTGTCTAAACAGAAGTGTTTCCCTTGGCTTTTCCCAATTATTAACCCAAGGCTGCTGGACTATGTAGGACTGGAGGTCCCTCTAAGGGGAGAAAATAGCCTCAAGTCCAAGGTCCAGCTTCTGTCTAGTCATGAAAAGAGGGCCCCACTTTGCAGATGAGCCAACAGTGGAACAGCAAGATGTGCAGTCACCCAGCTGCAGAAGAAGTAAAGAGGTTGGCTGCTGCCCCAGCCTGGGCTCCGCAGGCTGACCAATGCCAGTGTAGTCTGCCATGTTTGCAAAAGTGCTGACCCTGAGTAGGCTGGACACATTCTCAACTGAATGGCTGATGGTGCCATTTGGGCTATTGCCCCCCACCCAGTTTTTTGTTGTTTTTTTTTTGACACAGGGTCTCACTTTTTTTTAATTGTAGTTTTTATTTTTAAAATGATGATTTTCCTTATCTCCTGTCTACTTATCTTTATTTCTACCCTACTATTACTGTGGATGATGGGGCCCTGGACATTTTTCTAGGATCTTATGGCAAATGAGCAGAAGAACTGGACATGGCACATGACAGTAAGGTAAAAACAAAAATGTTTTAATCTGGTAACGATAGGCTCAGAGTGAGCCAGCTCATGTGGGCAGAAAGGAAAATTCAAGCCTTGCTTTGTAATTGGGGCTGGGCTTAAACTCTGTGTAGCCCTGGCTGGGCCTCAAACTCAAAGCAATCCTCCTGCCTCAGTCTCCTGAGTCCTGGGATTACAGGCATGTGCCACTATGCCTGGCTCCAAAACTTTTAAAATTAAATTAATACCCACCATGTAAACTACTCTCTAAAAAGCAGAATGTAAGTGCATCATTTATACTCAACACATGATCTTTAAATGTCCTAGTGACAACTAATGACCATGACTGAAGGGAACAAACCAGGAATGCAGAGAGTAAAAACTGCATGAAGCTACCTTCCTAACTCACAGCTAGGAAGAGATGGCATAACTCCTCCAAAGAAAAGCCTACTACAGTTTAGCTCAAGCCAACTAACTGTTCCTGCTAACCCTCTCAAATCTAACACACTATTGTTTATTTCCAAAAAAAGTAATATAACAAGCAAAAATCCATTAGAAAACATTTTAATGTGCAAACATTTTAATGTGTAGGAGCACCTACAACCGCGTTTCTGTCCTGAAAGATGAAGGCAGTGGGGATTTGGCAACTTGGTCCACCCTTCTGTGAATAAAGACGACATAGCATGATGGCAGCCTTAGCTTCCCCAGTGCTGGGAGGACTGATACAAGGGTCCCACGATCTCCTGTTAACCCTGCCAGGTCAGGGTCTGGAAGATGATGTGGGAAGATCAAGAGTTGCCCCAGGATAGGCAGCAAAGGGTTGCACTGTCTGTAGAATTAAAAATAATCATAAAACCAAGCAGAAGGCAGGCTGCTTCTTACTTTAACATCATGTGCCCCTACACAGCCCTTACCACTGTGCCAAAGACAAGGTCCTCCTTCCTGAACACACAGTTTAAACAACGGGGACCATCTCTGTGAGTATTAAAACACACGTGGAAAGTTTAACGAAGATCTTCTCTAGTACATTTAGTCTCCTCCACAGAAGTTACTTAGAAGACTCCCAGCTACCTGGTCGGGTGGCCCTGATCTACATGGGTCTCAGCCGCATGCGCACTCGTAGCAGTCAGAACTTGCAAGCAAATTTTCAGTGCTGCCTGCCTCTTCCACCTCTGTGAGAACCATGTTCCTGCATGTAAGCGTGGATTCTAAGTTTGGACAGCAAGTATACAGAAGAGGTAGAAGCTAGGCTCCTTCCATTCCACCGGGAGCTGTTGTATTTAAAATATGAAACAGGCATGAAGGCAGATACCCATAACCCAGCATTCCGAGAGGCTGCAACAAGACCGCAGGTTTTGAGCCTGGCCGAGGCAACTTAGTGACTTAGAGAGACCCAAAGAAGGCCTGAGGATGTAGCTCAACATGAAGGCCAACATGAAGGTTCAATCCCAGTACCCCAGAAGGAAAGAAGGAGAAAGGGAGAAGGGAAGAAAGGAAGGAAGCCTTGTACTTTTTCTTTTGTACTATATTTTTAAAAACTTTGGTATAATGCTATGTATAAGAATTCAGTAAAAAGTGTTTTACTATCTGCATTTCCTTTTTGGCCATCACTATAATCACCAGCCCATTAGTATTTCTAGAAAGAATGCTGCTCTACAAGGCAGGATCCTGTTAAGACAAAGTCAGCTCTGGGCATCTAGGGGCTAAGGACACCACTATTCTGTGAAGTGGCACCTGGTGATGGAGCAAACCCCTTCAACAAGCAGCCAATCACCCCAAGTCTTACTGTCCTCAACTTCTTCAAGTGCTCTGTTCTCGTTAACACTCCTTTCTCCAAATACTTCTTTACACAGTGAGAGAGAATTCTAGAAGGCAAAAGACTTAACAATATGAAGGCTGCTCGTGACTTCTCAGGGCCAGTACGTGAAATATGAGCAGAGTCACAGAAGTAGGCTTTGGAAACAGAGGCAGCAGCCAGCTTGTGTGGTCCCTGCAGCCGTGATCTACTTCTCCGTCCGCTGGCAGGTCTGGGCACCATGACAAAGCAAAAAGAAGTGATCTGGAGTAAGGCCAGGCTAGAAAAAGCTTTAGAACACTGTTCACCTTTTTCTGGGGGTGAGAGTCTGGAGTCATGTATGGAAGAGTGTAATCTTGGAAATCAAATAATTAACCAGTAGGATAGTACAAAAACACAGGCTACTGAGCTAAGAGATCTGGATTTAGATTCTGATTCATACGTACAGGCTGTGTAACTTTGGGCAAGTGACTCAACCATTCTGAGAGTCAGTGTCCTTATTTATAATGCAAGGCTACAGCTCCACCTCTGAAGGTGGTCCTGGGATGAAGCAAAATCATTTCTGTTCTCTGAGGACCTAGTATCCCTTTAATTTTCAGTAACAATACAAAACATTCTATAAGATCAGAAAAAAAGGTGGGGCTTATGTTCTCTCTTTCAGAGCCTGCTTAGTCAGCCCCAGAAACTTCTCTAGGAATTCACAGTGCCAGATTCCACCCAGGAAAGCATTTACTTGTCAGAGAGTGGGTACCTGCAGTGTAGGCGCCCATGAGTAGCTTCCAGAAGCCTGCGCTTCCGGGATCTGGGAATTGCAAACAAGGGTTAAGGTAATCCTGGAATCTTAAATCAACACATGCAACTCATGAGTAATTAAGGACATTCTATACTTAGCAATTAGGGCAATGGATTGCAGGAAGGGGAGAAGAACAAGAAGGAAAAACAATAAGAAAAAGCTAAGCTGTAATTTAAAAAAATGAACTTTTGTTTTTAATTTGTCATGGGGATAACATTTACTGAGTTCTTCTGTATATCCCTAAGAAGTAAAGCACAAGCCTGGAAGGGACTGTAATTTTCACTGGCATGTAGGGAAACATACTTGGAGAAAAGCAGAGCCAGAAAGGGTACCTACATCCTAGGACTGATGACAGCTGGATCCCGCTATGCCTGAGAGCCTCAGTTTTCAAATCCAGGAACCAATACATTATACTGTGTGTATGACCAGTTTCTTGGGGTTCTGCTTCTTCCATATGAAAAGTAGACACTGGCTGAACTCTGAAATCTTTGGCTGCCTATGTGTCCCCCTCACCTAAGGTAATATCTCCTTACCCACATGTGGGTATAACCACATCCTTCTCAAGCATTGTGCATCCCCATTTGGATACACGGCTTAGTTGAAATCAAACATAAAATTTCCTTAATTATGAAAGTTATATATTTTAACCAGGATATGTCTTTATCAGGTTTGGGGGATTAGTTTCTCAGGGGCTTATTTAATCATTCAAAAAGAATCTACTGAGTATCCTCTCAAGCTTGTGTGTTAGAATACCCTGCAGCACTTTAAGACTATTGTATATCCACTGATGTCTGATCTAAATGCCGCTGGCCTGGGCTGAGGCATTATGGGTTGGAGCTCATCAGGTTATTGTGATCTGTAGTTTAGGTAGGCAACCAGGGTGCAGGAGCCAGGCCACAACACGAGTGACACAGACAACCCTGGCTCTTATGAAGGTACCTAGAAGGGAAGACAGCTGACAAGCAAGACAGGTGTCACAAGGGAAGGCTGGTGAGCCACAGGAGTGTAAGACAGGTACTATACCGTCCGGGGTTAGGAAGGGACTTGACTGAGGCAGTGCTATCTATGCTGAAACCCAAAAGATGGACACAAGTTTGCAAGACAGAAGGGAAGAGTTGTAAAAGGCACTTCAAGCAGAGAAGACAACGTATGAAAAGGTCTCTGGACAGGAACGTGGAGAGTTTTCTAAAATACGGTCCATTAGGAGGCCGAGGCAGCTGGATTGCCACAAGTTTGAGGTCAGCTTGGGCCACATAATGAATCAATCAATCAATCAATCACTCAATCAATCCGTAAGGCTGGAAGATGAGGGAGCATTTGCTGGACGTGTGAAACCAATGAAATGTGGGACATGGTAATGTGACATCATCCTGGCTTTGCTGACTAATACAAGTGGTGACAGGA